TGACATTATGCCAAATTGCCCCCTGCCCTTGCCTTTCTTCCAGAGACAACTTTCATGCACATCTAAATCTCTTCAGGCTCTGCTTCCAGGGTCTCCTACCTCAGATTATAGTGCACGCTGAATAAATTATGGATTTAATGGCAATGTAGCACCATCACATTGGCTATGTGGAGGGAAGGGAAGGTCTTGCTGGCTCTTTCTCCTGCTACGGCAAACCCATACCTGGCACAAGCCTCTCCCCACACCTTTGATGCTGAACTGCTTCAAGGGGAGCTGGATTTGGAGTTCTGTCAACCTTAAGTGGTAGTGATGGGCTCTTTGGTTTTCAGGTAAGACCAACAAACAATGCCTCACTCAACAGGGGCCCAGAGAGATGTCTGACAGCCTCTTCTGGCCTGGCCTGACTCTCCAGCCCTCCATCTGGGGAAGCCGTGGGAGACCGGCTAACAGTTCTGCCAAGTTTGGGTGTTTTCAGCAGCTGCTCCACCACATTTCACCAGTAACCAGTTTGTTTTGGCAAGGTGAACCCCTAGGCCCAGCTTCTTAAGAAGCGCTCCAGGAGTGGCCCAGAGAAACCAGTTTTTACCACAGAAGCCAAGGGTGGTCAGATTTGAATAAGTACCAGTTCAAAATGGCTGGGTCCTCCCCTAGTCACCTGAGCGTGGAGTCAGTTCTGGGTAAGGGCATGGATGCATGGCAGGGAGCAGGCTCATGGTAGCTACCAGGGCTCCATACAGCCAGGGGTTCCCGCCACCCCCAGCCAAGGATGCACTGGGACAGCTTCTATTCTCAGGCTGGCAGAAGATGGGAGAGAAAAGCCTTAGGAACTAAGATGCTAAAATGCTGGGCCCTGGGCGTGGAGAGATGGGTCAGTGTTAAGAATGAATACTGCTGTTTCAGAGGATCTGAGCTCAGTTTCCAGTACCCATGTTTCAGGTGGCCTGTAACTCCCTTTCTAGGGGCACCCAACACCTCCAGCTGCCTCAGGTACACACACACACACACACACACACACACACACACACACACACACACACACAACTTTCACACACAAGCACACAAGTTAAAAGTAAAATAAATGTTTTAAATACCTGCTATTTGATGACATTTCCCTTCCCCTTTTAAATGCTTGGCTCCTTTGCTCTCAAGGAACAAAATAATCAAAAGGAAAGAGGTCAAAACCAGTCTTGTTCTGTTACTCCCTGCTGGGAAGCCTCCTCTTCATCTTTATAGCCATGAAGTCTATTCTGTTCTATCGCCAGCTGGAACCTCTGCACTCAGAACCCCACTCATCCTCAGGTTCCTGAAGCTGCAAACCCAGAGCCCCTCCTCCCAGACCTTGGGTGCTGACACCCTATTAGGGTGAGCTGAGGAGCCTGGACATCTTTGTGTATTGAGTAGATACAGGGGTTTCTAGGCAGGTCACCCACCAGGGCTCTTCTGGATCTCCAAGAGTGGGGACCCAGAGCTGTGGCGCCTAGCTGGGCTGGAATCACACAGAATAGGACAGTAAAAGGATCAGTCATAGGGAGCTGAATGACTGTAATTTGTTTGTTCTCATATTTTCTCCTTCCTGGATCCCAGGAGGTACCAGAAGCCAGCATGGAAAGAAAAATCGATATGGTATGTAGATTTCTGCATTTTGCTTCCCAGAAGTCATAGAAGCACAGATTTTTATGTGCCGAGAAGTAGGAAGGACAAGAGCAGGAGATGGTGAGGAAGAGAATGGGGCCACATATTAGTAATTAATACACCTGGTCAGAGGACATGTAACAGTCCACCACTAAATATGTCGTTCAAGTTAATGCAATGGTTTAAAATTAGCCATGTAACTAATGTGATTTAGCACAGTAACAAAATAATGCAGAAAATCACTTGATTATCTTAAGAGATTCAGAAAAGTATTTAAAAAAATTTGGAATTCAGTCACAATTTTTAATTAAGAAATTAGATTTAATGATAACTATAAACCAGACAGGATACTTGGTGGTTCAGTGCTCAAAGTCGGCCATCCAGGATCAAGAACAAAGATATCCACTATCACTACTTTTATTCACCATGAAACTGAAGATTCTAAGTAGTACATTTAGACATAAAATTGAAATTAAAGTAAAAACTGCAAGTGAAGATGTTTGTAGATGAAACAGCCATACACTTAAAAAGATACATACTTAAGACAATCTATTGATAAACTATTACTGATTGAAGTATGTTGCTGGATATAAAGATATTATTTTTAAAAATCAGTTGTGCTTCTAATTGCCATTTACTTAAGTATTTATAATAAATGCTTAAATAACAAAATGTACAATTATATAAAATTCTTAAAGTGAAAGATGTGCAAAACTATCATGAGAAGTCTCTAAAATATTATTTTTTAATTTAGTTTTTATTTTTTGAGATTATAATAGAATTACATAATTTTCACCTCCCTTTCCTCTCTCCAAACCCTCCAATATAATGTTCCTTTCTCTCCTTCAAATTCATGGCTTCTTTTTCATTAATTGTTATTATGTACATATATGTATATGTATACATATTCCTAAACATATAAATACAACCTGCTCTGCTGTGGGATGGTCTGTATGTCAAATTGCTCTGATTGGTCAATAAATAAAACACTAAATGGCCAGTGGCCAGGCAGGAAGTATAGGCAGAACTAACAGAGAGGATAATTGAGAGAACAGGAAGGCGGGGGAGTCACTGCCAGCCACCACCAGGACAAGCAGCATGTGAAGACGCTGGTAAGCCACGAGCCACGTGGCAAGGTATAGATTTGTGGAAATGGATTAATTTAAGCTATAAGAACAGTTAGCAAGAAGCCTGCCACAGCCATACAGTTTGTAAGCAATATAAGTCTCTGTGTTTACTTGGTTGGGTCTGAGCGGCTGTGGGACTGGCGGGTGAGAGAGATTTGTCCTGACTGTGGGCCAGGCAGGAAAACTCTAGCTACACTGCTCAGTCTATATGTTACTTGTATGTTTTTTCTAACTACATTCTAAATATCTGTCCTTATACCTGCAGATGACTGTAGTCTTCACCCTCAACAAGAAAACTTCTCTTTGCCACAGATGGAGACCATTACAGAAAACCACAACCAGTCAAAATACAGAGTTGTGGACCACATTCCTAACAGATACATCTCCAGTACAACTCTTGCACCTAGTAACAGTTCAGAAGGGACAGAAAGATTAGCAGAGCCAGAGGATCAGGGAGTTTGCTATGAGACTGTGTCTCGTGGGAATGTCAAAAGCTATGCCCCCATTGGTAAGTTTTAAAGGAGTGAAATCAATGGAGAGCTACAAAAACAATATTCCTAGATCAAAACACTTAAGTTGCTGGTTCTGCATTAATTAATTTAGAAATTTAATGTAACCTCAATGAGAGTCCAGCAGGTTTTCAAAATAGCAATAAACAAATTTTTTGTTTTGTTTTTTTCCGAGGCAGGGTTTCTCTGTGTAGTTTTAGTGCCTGTCCTGGATCTCACTCTGTAGACCAGGCTGGCCTCAAACTCACAGAGATATGCCTGGCTCTGCATCCTGAGTGCTGGGAATCAAGTTGTGTGTAATAAACAAATTTTGAAATAAACATGGACTTGAATATGGCAACACACACCTGTCACCCTAGAACTTGGGGAACTGAGGCAGAAGTATCAGAAACTCAGGACCAGTCAGTAAATCTCTCAGATAGGAAACTAAGTTGGTACCTTGCTGTATGTGCTGACTAGTTTTATGCCAACTTAACACAAGCGATATTCATTTGGGAAGAGGTAACCTCAATTAGGAAAATGCCACCATCAGACTGGCCTGTGAGGAAGCTGTAAATTTTCTTGACTGATGTGGGCAGCATCGAGCCTGGGATGGTGGTCCTGGGTGCAGATAAGAAAGCAAGCTGAGCAAGTGTGGGAACAGGCCAGTAAGCATCACTCCTCCATAGTTTCTGCATCAGGTCCTGCCTCTCAGGTTCCTCCCTTATGTCCCTACCCTGACTCCCCGGGATGATGGACTACAAGCTGTAAGAAGAAATAAACCCTTTCCTCCCCAAGTTGCTTTTGGTCATGGTGTTTATCACAGCAATAGAAATCCTAAGACACGGTAGTATACAGCAAAGCTTGCTATATATCTAAAGCTGTTAGGATCCTGTGGTGTTGGTGTGACAGATGAAATGACCAGCAGATCAGAACAGAGAAAAGAGAACAGGCCGGTGTAGAGACAACTGCTTTGTGATTAATCTCCACTGCAGTGAGATGGAGGAAAGACAGAAAGCTTAACAAATAGAGCTGGGCGATGACTATTCACCTGAAAACAAGTACATTTGATCCTTGGTCACCACAACACAGAAGGTGATTCTAGCTGGGTGTGGTGGTGCACCTCTTTAATCCCAGGACTCAGTGGCAGGCAGATCTCTGTGAGTTTGAGGCCAGCCTGGAATACATAATGAGATTTAAAAAAACAACAACAACTAAACAAACAAAAATCGAACACAACTAATAATGCTATCGAAGAGAAAGGGAGCGACAGGATTGAATGGCAGACTCTAGGGTCCACATTTGTGGTCACAGCCTTGTACTTATCAGGCTCCCATAAGGACAGTCTTCTTGTAAACATCAGGCCTCTAGGCTCCTTCTGTTCCATCATCCACTGGTTGTGGTTATCACCACTGAGGTGACAGCAGAAGGCAGAAGCTTGAAGGTAAAAGTGCAAAGGTGTGCAGGGATTGGAGGACAGTGCCTACTCCAGGCAAAGGAGATCAGGACTTCAGAGAGTCACGATCCGTGAAAAGTCTCTTTTCTAGGGGAGAAAGATGCTGTAGACTGACTGCTTCCTATGTGGAAAAGTCATCTTGGAGCAGACAGGCTTCAGGCTTATGTGAACCACCTCAAACGTGTTTAATACTTGTGCCTTCACACACACACACACACACACACACACACACACACACACGCACGCACGCACGCACGCACGCACGCACGCACGCAAAGAGAGAGAAATAGAGACAAATAATAATAAAGTTTTTATTTTAAATTAAAAAATTGGTTGTGTCAGTGGGGAACAGACCTTGGAGGTCCCTCTGGCAGAAGGATGCTTATCTTTCCGCAGGGGAATGAGATGACTGTTTCAGGTTTTTCGTTCTGATGTATAATCTACCCGGAACTGGTATGTGTGTGTGTAAGAGAGGTCATGTAAACTCAAATGGTGCTTAAGTACTGTGATGGGACCACGGAGGGAAGACAGATATCGTATCTCATTTTATATTGAGTATGGCAACTGACCCATTTGGGGGGGGGGACCAGAATGTAACCTCCATCCAGTTACCAGTTGTCTCCAGTACTGAATAGAGTCTGTAGAGGCCAGGCCTTGGAAGGCTTGGCTTGGTAAGAAAGGCTTGTAGCTGAATGAAACAGGCTTGGGGGGATAAGCTTTGCTGTAGATAAGCTAAGGGGGCTTCCGTCCGGGACAGCAGGGGAGGTCAGGCACTGAGGGCAGGGGGACACCAGTCATGCATCCCAAGTGAGAGGAATCCTAGATTCTGTCCAAAACCACTAGAGAACAAGTGGTGAGACCTCTAAGGACAAGGCCAGCCCACCTGCTGTGACAAGGATGCTTTCCCAGAAGGCTGCAGGGCATTGCTGTGGGGGGGTAGGGGGTTGGTAAAGACTTGGTTTCCAAATGCCTGAGGTCCAGATTGGGCATTGGACTCACTGGGTAGTGGATTTAAAAAAAAAAACAATGGCTTTCAGGAGAGAACCTGACCTTACCTAGGGAGTACGGCTCAGGGTCTGGGAGTCTTCTAGCACTCTGGGTGGATGAATAGGCCAAGGAAATTTTTCACTATGCTCCTTTTAAATTCTTAGATAAAGCCAAAAGGGGTCTCAGTAAGAGGCAAGAGAGGTTGAAAGGTGATTCAAAGGGGGTCTCCTGGGACCCATAGGCTGCCAAGCCCAGGTAAGTCCTCTAGCCTCTGAAACTGGATTTCACTTCTGGACTCCTACACATCTGAGTTAGTATGTTGCTTTTGTTTTTAGAGACAGGGTTTCTCTGTGTAACATCTCTGACTCTCCTAGAACTCACTCTGTAGACCAGGCTGGCTTTTAACTCACAGAGATCCGCCTGCCTCTGCCTCCCAATTGCTGGGATTAAAGGCGTGCGCCACCACCGCCTGGCTCTAGGTTAGTATTTAACGTGCTCTGCTCTAGTTCCCGGCAATGTCTCAAAACCCTCATCTTGGTCTTGGCCAGATGGTCAGGAAAGCAAGTTCTAAGTTCCTGATCATGTCCCCATACAACACTGTTGGGATCAAACCCATCTAGAAGGCATAAAGCAGGGGTAATTTCTCAGCTGATCCCTGGAGATGTCGTAAGAGCCTGAGACACAAAGTTGCCCAGGGGCATGGATCAAAGCCACCCTAGGAGAGCTGCAGGGCCATTGAGAAAAGCAGACCAAGGAAGCAGGCCAGAGAGGCCACGTGGCCACCTGCATCTGGTTTATTGTTCCATTTTGTCCAAACTCAGCGGAGTGTGAGGCCACCAAGGGGCAGCCAGGCTGTTCTTTCCGGCCAACTAGAGTTGGGTGTGTGGTGGTAGGGGGACAAAATTCACGAAACATCCATTGGGGTAAGAGTCAAATTTCAGGAGGCCCTTCTGTGCATCTTCCATGCCTACAACCCCCCCAGGGAGGTGTGATGGGATCCGCATGAATGTGCTACTCTCAAAGGAAGTGGGGGCAGCCATTGGGGTCCAGTGGCTTGTGGGCAGCTCCATGGGAGCCTGAATGGGCCTCCTAAGACTGCTAGACACCACCTTGTTCACAAGTGAGAAGGTGGGCTGCTAGGTCAGGTGAGACTGCTAGATCACCTCTCCCTGAGATGTCCTCTTTCCCACGGTTCCTAATTCTTGCTCACCTCACCAACGTCTCTGGTCTTCACAAAATCCATCTCTTACAGAGGAACCAACCCAGTGGGTAAAGGCCCGACATCACAACACCTCCCTATGATGCTCTCTTGCCAAGAGCATCCTCACAGTGCTGGGCTCCTAATGTGCCCCCTCCCAAAGGGAGGTAAGTATGAGGGTCTGTGGGTATGAGGGGGCCTTGAGCGCAGAGGTGAAGGCCTCTCCCTGTGTATCCCAGGGATTGAGGTCTACCCACAGTCTTGACCCTACATCTGTTTGTGCTGCCACCCCGGGCCATGAATGTGAATCCAGAGGAAGCTCCAGTCCAGCCTCATTGGGGGCAGCACCTGCGGACCTGCGGTGGGGAAAGAAGGGAGAAGAAAGTCTTGGAGAAAGCTTGGCTGCAAGGGTATAGTAAGCCATTTTCTTTCCATGTACCTTAGTCAGCTGTCTAGACAAGCACAAGGAAGGAAGACCTGGACCCCCACTCCCCAACCCTGCCAAATCCATTCCAGGGCCAAATGAGAGAGGAAGACTGAGATGGATCCCTACCGTGATTAAGAGTATGCCAGGCCCTGGAGCCCCCGGGCTGCCGAGTGGAACTTGTCAGTATCTTCAAAAGGCTGGTCTGTGGTCACCAAGGAGAGAGGGAAATAAGCCTTCTGTGGCCTGCTGATCTTACCTGCCTGTTCTTCTCTGGGCTGAAGATAGAAGGCAGGGTATATAACGCTTCTTACAGGCTGTCAATCTATCTGGCACCCCACTGGTGTCTCAGAATGTACAGCCCACATCCTTGATTTCCTTACTTCCCTGACCTCTGGGCTTCTCTTCCAGGCTTATCTCTGCTTCCTCTTCTTTTCCCCATCCCTGTGTGTTACTGTGTGTCCGTGTCTGTGGTGTATGTATGTGCATGCAAGGGGGCTCACTTGAGCATGTGTGTGGTGAAGGCCAGAGGCTGGCCTTGGGTGTCTTCCTCCACTTTAGAGTCAGGGTCACTCACTGAAACTGGAACTTGCCATTATTTTCCAGGTAGACCCACTGGCCAGTGAGCGGTGGGTATCTGCCTGTCTGCCCCAGGGCTGGGGTTACAGGTGTGTTCCCCCACACTTGGCCCTTATGTGGAAGTTAGGTGTCTGACTCATGCTTTGCTCAAGTCATCTCCCAGGCCCAGACCCACCTTCTTCAGAGGGCCTGTGCCAAGGTGAGGAAGCAGATGGATGAGGACCAGGACAGTAATGAAGAGGCAGCTTCCAGGAGCGCTGATACACACAGCAGCATCCTGTCCGCCACCCACAGGTGGGAAGCCATCATTTCACTAGCTCCTACCCCACTGACCCCTTTCCTTGAGCCGGCAGGAGAACTCTTGAGTCCTCTGTCTTCCCCATCTCTCACATTTTAAGCTGCACACGCATGTTAAGAAAAATTCCCCAAAAGTTGGAAATAAGACCAAGAAAAGGGGTGCTGTGTCCTTGGGGGCAGGGGATGGAAGTTGGGAACAGGGTCCTACTATGTAACCGAAGCTGATTCTTTCTTTCTCAGCATCTTAAGTTCTGGGACCCCCAACTCCACCTTCCCGACATTACAGGCAGGCTGCCAGGCCCACCCAGCATCTGTTTGTGTTCTGGGGATCAGAACTCTGGTCCTCATGTGTGAGAGCTTCAACCTCTGAGCTCTCCCCCCCGCCCACCGCCCCCGTCAGTCCCCATGAACTCTTTGTTGCTGGTTTTCTTTTGTTTTTGTTTGTTTGCTTGTTTTTCTGAGACATGGTTTTCTCTGTGTAGCCCTGGCTGTCCTAGAACTTGAACTGTAGACCAGGCTGGCCTTGAACTCAAAGAGGTCTACCTGCCTCTGCCTCCCTAGTGCTGAGATTAAAGGCCTGTGCCACCACTGCCTGGCCCTCATGCATTCTTTTTTTTTTTTCAAGACAGGGTTTCTCTGTGTAGCTGTGGTACCAGTCCTGGAACTCAGTCTGTAGCCCAGGCTGGCCTAGAACTCACAGAGATGTACCTGCCTCTGCCTCCTGAGTGCTGGGATTAAGACGTGTGCCACCACCACCCACTCCTCATGTATTCCTTAAGTCACTTTGTCTCTCTGCTAGCTGATTCATGAGTTAAGTGTTTTACATTTATCTATATGACTTATCTTCTAAAACTTTGTATATGGGTCCCTATATCCCGACTTCCCCCTCTACACACCTTACTGAGGCCTCCTCCCCTAGAAAAGGAGTTAATTCTTCAAACCCTGCCCGGGCAAGGCCTTTCTTGACAGCAGTCCATCCTGTGGATGGCATACCAACCAGTCTTCTAGTCCTCTTACCCTAGATAAAAGTTTGCAATTGGTTGAATCACCACCTCAGATCTGTCTGGAGTGTCCAGAGGAGCAGCCTCCAGAGGGAAAGAACTCATTCTATCTACATACAGAGTAGGGCAGAGCACAGAGGAGAATTTCCAGATTGCTGCACCACCCTCCACTACAGTCAGTTTTTTGTGGTCAGGTGGATCTTCTGACTGCTGTGTATGTTTGTCATCCTTAGTTGTCTTCTCGGGCCTCAAGAATGCCACACACTCCTTCCAGTGTCCCCTGTCTCTCATGAAGAGAACCTTAGGGCTCAGAGGCCTTTCAGGGTACTGTCTACAGTTCTTCCAACAGTCACTGTGTGGGGCTGACGCATGACTGTGGGCCTTGTTACAGCGGCTTGGCTTCCATGACTTTATCTTGGCCTCAGCAAACCACTTCGTATTTAGGAAACCACATGGGTGTCTCTACCTAAGCCCCAAAGATATTCCCAGGAACTAATGCCAAGATGATCTCTTTTTAAAATAAAATTTGTGCCGGGCATAGTGCTGCACTTCTTGTCCTGGCGGCAGCTCCAGGTGGTCTCCCTTTCCTTCCTCAGTTCTCCTCTCTCCTTGTCCCGCCTATACTTCCTGCCTGGTCACTGGCCGATCAGTGCTTTATTTCTATAGTGCGATATCCAGTCTGTGTGTTTATTTTATAAGTGGGCTCTGGGACTGGCGGGACTCGGCGGCGGCGAGCTGGAGAGAAATTCTCCAGCAACACTGTGACTTCTACCTCCTTCCCCATAACTATTCTCTCCTCCTCTCTACCGAGTTTCCAGTGACTGTTTGGGTGGGGTAAGTTCTGTGGGCTAAAGTATCTGCTGCCTATGTGTACAGTGACAGAACAAGCCTTTCGCTACTGAGACACAGGACAGGGACTTGCTCTTAATTCCTAACCTGTACACTGGGAAAAGGGAAGGTAGGCTAAACCTTATCCATGGTCAATGTCCTCTTGTTCATTAGATGACCCAGCATCAACGTGGTATGTCCCTCTCGTGGACACAGGAGAAAGACATGCAACCTGAATGGTTCCTTCAGTTCTTAGGGTTGGGTCTTTACTCTAGGCTCCATTGAACCGGGCTGGACTATTGAGACTTTTTCCAATTGGGATTTCAACCTTCTTGGTCAAGCGGTCAGTTGAGTGGGTCTAGACAAAGGCCAGGACACTTCTAGCTTTAAGTAAGGAAGTGCGGTCCAGATGGGTCTTCCTGGACCCCCACAGAACCTTTTGCTGGGCACCCTCCAAAAACCATTGGTCAACTGCATGGGACATGGGTGGTGATTAGATGGAGTAGGCCTTCCCTCGGGTCACTCTGAGGCAGCCTTGGTTGCTCACCTGGAAGCCCCTCTCTGTGGGCTCTGGGGCAGGCCTGGGATGGGGAGCTGGGTGGGCGCAGCACAGGGGCGAAGGCGCTCCTCTGTTTGACAGCGGAGATCATGTTGACAGGCGAGAAGGAGAAGACGCTGGTGGTGGGGGCAGCGGCCGGGAGGGACATGGAGGAGGCAGCCGCCAGCGGGGGGCTAGAGGGCATGACTCCGGGGCGGGGCGAGGAAGGGGCAGGTGCAGCAGGGAAGGCAGTGGGAGACACAACAGGGAGACAGCACCAGAGTGAGCAGCAGGACTGGGGTGCCACGTGGGCAGTGAGTCCCTTGTGGACTGTTGACCAGGCTGCGGGCTCAGACCTCCCTGGGGGCTACGACGGTCCTGAGACAACCAGTACAAGAAAGATAACGTCTAGAGGCAAAATGGGAGCTTCTGGGTCCTGGGCCAGTCCTTGCCTTTTGAGGAGTTCTGGACACCATTTTCAGGGTTGGGAGATGACAGGATCAGACCCAGTGAAAACAAAACAAACAAACAACAAACAAAAACAAACAGTGGGAAGTGCTCTCAACGATGGGAGATAGGAAAGAGATGAAAAGATTGGAATGCCTGCTGAATACCACTGGGATTCGGAAATGCTAAGAAATGTTTATGGGCCTGTGCTGCTGAGACTAAACTCAAAGTCCCAGGGTCACAACAGTGCTGGAGGAAGCAGATAGGGAGGAGGTTTTGGTGGGTATGCAGCCTCCTGTGGAAAGCTGCTCTCCCAAGGATGACAGCTCACACATGCACCCTCACTTCCTCTCTAGGGAGCTTTCCCACCCAATGTGCCCTGTACTTCATTTGTCTACCCTCCAACCCTGGGCACCATTTCTTTCCACTTTAGTTCAAGGCCTCTTGTATCTGCTAGGGCTCCTGTGTAGGGCATCTCTGTCCCGTCTTTCTCCATCCTCATCTGAACCCATTTCCCTGCGTCTCTCTTCTAAAGACCAGCAAGCAGGATTTTTAATCTTCTCCAACCAGCAGGCAACGGACAGCAGACATCTTGGAAGATATCTGTGGCCTTTGACATCACAACATCCGTTCATCGACTTTTGGCACAAAAAATGACTGCAATAGCTAACCTAGTCTCAATGTCCTTAGCCTGTGGTCACCATCTCCCCGGAGAAAATGCTCAGTGCTCAGGTAAAGCCATGGCCATTATGGAGTGCTTAACATCATGATTATATATATATGGTATCTGCTGAGGCCCAGAGAACTAACAGCCACATTTTGCGGATTTATGGAGTTCTAGACTTGCTAATAACTAATACCATAGACCAAATAGAGACACAGGCAGCCCTAGACCCTCTGGCTAGGACAGTTCCAATGACATTTTAGGGACACCTTGGCAAACTCAGTGAGAATGACTCCCTGTGCAACTGTGTCACAAGGCATCCTGCACTCGGGGGAACGGTCTGGGTAGAGTCCCGAGTGTCCCTGCCGATGGTGAAGTAGGGTGTAAGTGACTCGGGAAGTTCTGATCTGGTTGACTAGGGTGACCCAGGATGGACTGTGCATTGGGCAGCTTCTTTCACGGCTGACAGTACTGTTGTGTATTTGGGGAAGGGCGAGAGAGTCAAACCCAGGGGAACACAGGAAAAGGCTGTGAGGTCGCTGTCACTGAAGGGATGTGGAGCAGCGGAACCCGGCTGAGCCAGGAGAGACTGGCCTTGGGAGGGACACAAGAAGGCCTGTGTGGACTCTGGCTTGGAGGGACTTTAGGTTCCACAAGTTAAGTCAAGGTCAAAGGAAAATGGCAGGCAGATTTGTAGCCAGTGAGAACAGCGCCCCGGTAAGGAAAGTTAGGCAGGTGGCTAGACAGTTAGGCAATGAAAAACTGAGGGAACTCCAGGGAAAGCCAAAACAAGCTCCTTCGTGGGCAGATGTCGCTATTTCTCAGACTCAGTAGTGCCCCGGGCCTTGAGGAACATGGTCTCTTGTGACTGGTAGAGAGGTTTTTGCTGGTGAGAAAGTGTGGACAGAGTCGCCCAAACCTAGTCGTTCTCACCATGTGGATTCTAAGTACCTGCCAGGTAGCCATTGGTATTGCAAGGGCCTGACAGGCCGTGTGAAATGATAAAGCACACAAATCCACACTGTCCATCCGCCAGGGAGCTGCCTTAACCCAAGATGCCAAGCACTGGGCCTACAAAATCATACATTCTTTCTAAATTTTGTCTGGGTTTCCAATGGCATATTCAGATAAGGGAGCTACCCGAGGCCGGGGTTGTACTGATCCTGTTTTACTGAAGGGGACTTAAGTTCATAGGTGCAACTTGTTGAATGTCCCACAGCTCCTGGCTAAGACACTCAATCGGGTTCTGATCAGACGACATTGTCTTGTTTTGTCTGAACCATCTGGGAGAACCTGAGAGACTGCGCAAGGTACTCCGAGGGACGGGACAGGAATAAGAGTGTCCTGTGCGTGAGGGAGCTCCTCCAGAGCCCCGCCACACCCCTAGGGGTCGCCCCACTAGGTCCCACTGTTTCCCCGCCCTGCCCCAGGAAGTGCTGCTGAAACCCGGAGCCACACACATCCCCGGGGCAGCCGGGCGCTGGAAGCCCGAGTCTTTAGAGTTTCCTTAGGCTTCCAGCAGGGGCCGCCAGCCTCCTCCCGAAGTCCCGGCGAAGGACCAAAAGGTTGCTGTCCACCAGGTTTCAGCACAGGTCCCCCTAATTAAGGGCGGCTTCACAATCATGGGAGGGCTAGAAGCGATGTGTACAACTGGGGTCAGCAAAGGGGGCTTAAGGTGCAAGAAGTCGGGCCCCAGGATCCCGGGGCTCCCCAGGATTGAGGCTAAGGTCCAAAACCAGGGAGTGGCCGTATGTAAGGAGCACTGAGGGTTCTCCACGGCTAGGCCAAGGGCCACCCACATAAGGCAGGAACTGGAAGCCCGCACCCCAGGGTGGGCTGAAGGCAGGGCTGAGTCCATTCTGCATTCCCAGGCTGGCCCCACCCCCTTTCCTGTGGGCTGGGGACACTCACTGGCGAAAGGTGAGGTTGCGGTGGAGCCATTGAGGAAGCTAGGGGACCCGGGCACGCCGAGGCCAGTCACACCCGGCGCCCCGTAGCTGCCGAGGCCAGCTCCAAGGCCACTGCCGTAGCTGCTCTGCTGAGAGCCGGGGCTGGGCGCGAACCGGGGCGACGCGCTGCCGCAGCTGCGGGCATAGCCTGCGGGAGAGGGGCGGTTAGCCCAGCTGGCGACGCTGGGCTCTCCTGGGACACCGCAACGGAGGGGGCAGGGGTGGCGACACGCACCGGGCTCCGGTGTGGCATCCCCGACGGCGATGGCCAGGGGGCTGCTGAAGGCGTTGATGCCCACGACGGCGGGGTGTGGGTGGCTGGGGGCCAGGGGTCCGAGGGGTGCGGGTGCGCGCGGGGTGCTGTACAGAGCCTCGGCCACGTCCGCCGCACGCTTCAAGAGGAGCTCCTGCGAAGACAAGAACGGAGCACGGCCGGGGCAGCCGCAGGCGCGGGGTCAGAGCCCCGGCCCCTAGTGCTGGGAGGCGGGCGGAGGCACCATACCTGGTTACTGCTGGGCACTCCGTACAGGGCCTCCGCCAAGTCAGCCGCCCGTTTCAGCAGCACTTCCTAGGGCGAGGGAGGAGACATTAGGACGGAGGGGCAGCCCCTGGGGGCGCAGCGGGACCCTGGAGGGGCTTCCTCATTCCCTAGCCCACTGGACATCCTTATTCCCGGCCCATTCCTCTGAGTACCTTGGGCAGCCTCTCCGGGTCCCCCGGGTGTCTGGGAATGACTTTTTGTAGCCTCTGGAATCCGTAGTCAATGGTAGGCTCATTCAAGGCTGGGAAGAATGGCAATATTTGGAGGACACCCCTCCCAGAACAGAACTCACATCCACCATGCCCAGCCCCATGTTGGCCAAAAAACCCGTGCTCCAATATCAGTGAGCATCAGAGAAGTATTTGGTCAGAATTAATTCAACAAATATTTACTGAGCCAGGCTCTGTACCAAGCTTGGTATCAACACACACACACACACACACTTCTATACTTCTAGGGGCAGGACTCGGGATTTTTTGCATTTGGTCATATCAGTTTGCCATTAAAAAAAAACCTTAACAATCTTTATTGATCATGGAGCAGCTTCTTGGCGTAACTATCAAGGTTTGTGCCTCAGGAAAGGGACCAGCCAAAACCTTGGGCTCTCAGGGGCTCAGCCCCTGACTCTCTCTCCCTTGAGCTCCTTACTCCAGCCTGGCCTCCAAAGTTCTACTTTCTTCTCTTCCAAAGCTAGGCTTAATTTCCTTTCCTTTCCCCAAAGCATAAAGTACGAACTTCCTGGGCTTTTTTTCTAGCCAGTCTTCTGCTACCAACGCCTACCTCCCTATCCCTCTGAGTTACAGCTTATACTCATACTCCCAGGTGTGGGCTTTCCTCAGGCAAGTCCTCTACCCTGTAACTCACCCACCCACCCAGCCTGTGTTTGCAGCTCAGCCTGCCCAAGTTATGAAGGAACTACCTGAGGCCATCCCGAGCCCCCATGCCTCAGAGGGTATGGGGAGAAGTCAGTGGCCAGATACAGAGACCGGTGAATGAGGATTTCCACCAGTGGTCAAATTGAACCCAGTTTTCACTACATCCCCTTGAACCTTGGGCTAACTGTTCACCAAAGCGCTTGTACAAGGGTGTGTATGTGTTTGTGAGCTCTCTCTCTCACACACACAGCAGTATGTGAATGTAGAATGCAGCCTGGAAGACCCAAGACACTCAGGAAAGACTTGGAGAGTCATGAGCCAATTTGGAAGCACCTTTGAGATGAAAAGAACAAAGCAAAACAAAACAAAAAGAAAACCCTCGAAGAGGTTCTCAACTCCTGAGTTCATGCAAGGAGGGAAAGATTTGAGGCAGAAGTTGTTTCCAAGGAGCCAGAAACTCAGGGGAAGAATCATAGGTCAAGAGGAAAAAAGGACTTTGAGAGATCGCTTAGCAGGTGCGGGTGTGGGTGAAGGTGTGTGGGGGATGAGGAGCCACTGCTTAGGGCCGTGGCCACCTGTAGATTTCTGTCTCGCCCTGCCACTGTGTTTGCGCCCTTGAGCTCAGAGGGCGATTCTCTGTGGATCTCAGCCCCTGTTTCATCTGCCTCCTTCCTTACCTGTGTAGACGAAGCGGCCAGGGGCTCCTTTACAAAACTGCTTGGACTTGTAGGAGAGGGTCACTTCTACCACCCCAGGGATGTGTCGCGGCGGCGTCTGCACCCGGATAGCGTGGGGAGTGATGAGCTGTGAGAGGAGAGGGGGGAAGCCTGCAGGTCTAGTCCTGTGGGCAGGGCCTAGCCCTGAGACTCAGAGGGAGACGGGCAGGGGTTGGCCCACCTCGCTCCACAAGAGCACGTTGCCAAACACGACCTGCAACCCGTCGAAGAAGTTGTCTCCGATGATAATGACGGTGGCGCCTCCCGTGGTCCAGCCCTCCCCGGGGCTGATGGCCTTGATGCAGGGGGTGGTAGCTGGGAGGTAGGAGAGGACCCAGGTCAGGGGACTGCACCAAGGTGGAGACTGAGGTTGGCCAGGGCCGGGCCGGGAGTCCTGACCTTCAGAAGGGTCCAGGCGTCGGGCTCTGCGGCCATGTTTGGAGTTGTTGTGTACAAACATGTTGTCCGACACGGCCAGCACGTGTCCATCCACGCTCACTGTTGTGGACACCACCACCTGTGTGGACAGGGAAGACCAGTCTGGCTGGGGCCCTTGGGACATCTGGACAGGCACTGTCAGGGAGAGCTAGCACCTTGAGTTGGGTGGCTGGGAGCTGGAATTCACAATGTCCTTAGGGGAGGGGGAGTTCGGCTGGGTGGGGCCTGTGCTGGTGGAGTTGAAGCCAGCTGAACCACGTGACACCCTCAGATGGACTGACCTCTCAGGAGCTACGAAAATCAAAAGCCCAGAAAAAGTTGTAGCTCCTCAGGCAGAGGACCCTCCATTTTCGCACGCCCGGGAACACTATTCAGGACCGATCAAATCTGGAGACAGTTTGCCTTCCTAAAGTTGGGCACAACATCACTTACAGAACCCATCAACAGGAGCCCCCACTTTATTCTGGGCAGGAAATTGGTGCTGCCTTCTCCCTACCCCCTGCTTTGGGAGGGGTGTGCAGGTTGGGGATGTGCTAAGGGCAGCTGTTCTCAGCTTCACACTATGCAAATTACCTGGGTCGTTAATCATGTAAAAATGTCACAATTAGCATCTTCTTAAGTGGGACTCTAATGAAGCCTCCCTTGGCAGCCAGCATAAGTTGAGATGGAGCTGCCCCACCCCCAGCAGGCACCAGGCCGCGAGGCACTGGGCTGGGCAGGGAGCTGGCAGGGTCACAGCTTTCCCTTCACCTATCGGTAAAGGGTAGATTTGCAGGGGGTGAGAGGGCTTTTCCCAAGCCTACCTGGAAGCGGCGCATGTCTCGGGGATTCCCCGCGTTCTTCAAGCAGTTCTGGTTACATTTGAGAAAGAATTTGAGGAAGAACCTGAAACAGTGAGGTTTGGGAGGCTCAAGGGTCTGGGGGTTCTGTAAATAGATGAAGAGCATGCCTCCTCCCAGCACACTGACACCCCTTGTTTGCTTACACACAGGTGCACACTCCACATTCCTATCTCAAGCTGTGTACACACGGGGTGCCTGAGATGGACCAAATAGATCCATCACCGGGACTACCTTATTACACAGATGTACACAGTGCTTATTTGTCTATAAAGTGTCTGTTTCCCCCGTGCACAATGTAGATCCATCACAGAATGTGCTAACCATAAGCTCTACGGTATATGTGTGTACCTATTACTCACAAATTATACTCATCACAATGTGTACCTATCACACAAACAACGCATATTCCACATGTAGCATAGACTTACATATACCAAATACCAAACGTAAGCTTTTCACCTTGTATCTGTTACAGTCTGTGCCCACCACACACAATGAATCTGTCATACAGCACATCTCTCCCCCAGGTGATAACCACCACCTATACGATATGTACTCAGCATAAACTGTGTCAGTTATAGATGATACATAGGCTTTATTTATTATTACCCACAAGACACAGCCATACCACAAGCATATATTTCACATATGACCTATACTCATCAAACATGAGGCCGGGTGGTGGTGGTGGTGGCACACACCTTTAATCCCAGCACTTGGGAGGCAGAGGCAGACAGATCTCTGTGAGTTTGAGGCCAGCCTGATCTACATAATGAGTTTAGATCAATCAAGACTATATAGAGAGACCCTGTCTCAAAAACAATCAAAAACCAAACCAAGCAAGAAACACAGGTTATGAGTAGTACAATGCACATGTGAGTCCATGCCCATCATGTGTGTTATGTATCCATCCTACAGGGTATATGCATAGCAAGAATATAAAAAAATATACCTACTTGTATATGATTTAAAAAAAAAAAAACTGTCATTGACATCCCCTTCAGCAGATCCCTCTTCCACGGATTTTATATTCACTATACACAGAAAACTTGATAACACAGAACACATACTTACCATATACACACACACCATGCAGATATGCAGATTAGCTTCTTTGTTTTGTTTTGTTTGTTTGTTTGTTTTTCAAGACAGAGTTTCTCTGTGTAGTCCTGGCTATCTTGGAACTCTTTTGTAGACCAGGCTGGCCTCGAACTTGCAGATATTCACTTGCCTCTGCCTCCCAAATGCTGGGATTAAAGGCGTACGTCACCACTACCCAGCTTTTTTTCCCATATAATTGGTAAACAACAAACAACAACAACAACAACAAAAACACAGGATATGCTGTGAAGAGGCCAATCTTCCAGTCTTTCAAATTGGTGGGAAGCCCTGACACCATCAGTAAGGTAACCATGGACAAAACTCTAGCCATTGTAAATGCAAATACTACAATGTGTGCCTTAGCCCCGTGAGACTCTGGGAGCATCTTTGGACATGTCTTACACGTAGAGGGCAGGGCTAGGTCCATGGAGGGTCTTGGCATATAACATGGCTTCCTGGGCATCTGGTGGGTTCTTCTAGTTAGTGTTCCCAATTTACTTCCACTTATTTGGGAGACATTTTTACCATGTTGTTTCTTATAATAAATAGCAGATAAGGGTCTAAAATTAGGGCAATACTCTTAAAGAGTACATATTGTAGCTCTCTATATACTATTTATACACATTTCTCACTTGTTAAGACATTGTATGGTATAGATGCTCTAGAGCCTCATTCATACATAGTCCTCATACATGTCCCACACTCATATGGATAGTGTATCAGCTCCCTAGGCAGAGTCCAGCCTAGTTCATTAATTTTCAGTATCCACCATACTTTATCAGGGGCTAAAAGGAGGGAAACATCTCAGATTGGGACACAGTCCATGTGCTGAGGGGGTTAATGCTAACTCTTAAATACCAGCATGGTGGTGGTGGGATGACCCAAAAGGTATCCACACTGTACCTAACACCCAATCCTGTAGAGCTGAGAGGAAGGGTTCCTGGGATGTGGATGAGATGTGGGTACCGTGAGCAAGCGCTACCCAGCACACACTCTGTCAGCGGGAGGGGTGTGAATGTAACAGTGGTTTTCAGAAAGCATCAGACCAGCAACACTGCATGGAAACTTGTTAGGAATGCAGAAGCTCAGGCTCTGCCCTAGACCTGCCGCATCTAAACAGTTTTGTCAGGGTCCAACATCTGTGTTCTCTTAAGTCCTCTATGGCATTGAACCTCTTGGAATGTGTGTAGTCTCAATCTGAGATGTACCACAAGTATGAAATACATACTTGGATTTCAAACACTTTGGAAAAAGATTATAAAATAACTCAGGAGTTAGCTGGGCATGGTGGTGCACACCTGTAATCTCAGTCAGTACTCAGTAGGTAGAGGCGGGAAGATCAGGAGTTCAAGGCTAACCTCAGCTACACAGTGAGTTTAAGGCTAGCCTGGGCTACATGAACCCCACTCCCCGAAAAATAAACGTTGGTAATTTTTGATCACGTTGGAACAATAATAGTTTAGATACATTGGATTAAAGAAAATACATTATCACCATTAATTTTACCTATTCTTTTTTTAAAAGAATAAGTTGTTAACTAGAACATCTTACATGTGGCCTGCACTGTACTCATATTAGATAATACTGCTGTAGAGTGTTATGTCACTAACAATGCCCTGGAGGATCTGGTCCTACTCCTATTCCCAGTGAATGGGGCAGCCGTACTGAGGTTAGTAGCCGACTGGTTAAACACACACCCACACCCACACACACACCAAAAAAATGGTAAGATGTAAATGATGCTTGTTAAAAGAAGTAAATAATTTTTTGTTTGGTAGAGAAATTTTGCAATGTTTGTGTCCTATGGACACTATCTAGCTTTGGATCTAACCTGTCATATTCCAGCCTTTTCACACACATTCTGCCTTTCCTTCCCTCCCCTCCCTCCCCCTCTACTTCACAGAAATTTCCTCTGGGCCAGTCTGTAACCCCCCTGGTTACAGAGAACGTCAACAGATTCACAGTCATGGTCTTTCCACATTTGACGATTGAGCTTTGACATAAGCGACTGACTGTGCCACCACCCAGTGTCCCCGCCGCCCAAGGCTGGAGTTGGAGGACTTCTGGTTGGGAGAAGGAGCGTGGTGAAGTCAGAGAATGGGAAGAGGGTGGCAAGTTCTCTAACCCATGTCTGTAGAGGTCAGATGTGGAGCCTGGGAGCTGGGGCAGGGAGGGCTCAGGAAGCTGTGGGGAGGACCGCAGCAGAGGGACCAAGGCACATGGGGAGATGGACCCAAGCATCTCCAACACCGTCAGGGACCCGAAGAAGGCATACTTGTTTTGTTGAGGATTTGTAATCCCTGCTCATCACAAAGGGAGTACACTTCACCCCTAAAGCCGTGAGTCTTCTGTGCAACAATCCTTGTCCCTGGCTCCACAGGGCTGGAAGGGAGCTCCGGGAAGCCCTTTTCTCTGACTGAGATGGGCCACAGGCTGGGGGAACAGAAGATAAGGCCAAGCCATAGACCCTAGTAGAGTGAGTATGGGACTTTACTTAGTGTCATTCTCACTGATGGCAACAGATATCTCTGGGGACACAATTTCATCTGGATCTCCAAGAAATCACTCTGAGAGAAAGGCCACACCCCAGGAGCTGCCCTTGGAATTAATGGGAGGAACTACTACACATACAAGTACGAGGTGAAAATAAAATGCTTCATAGAGGGAATGATACAGAACCCTGGGGGCAAACCCATTCTAACTAATTATTAAGTGAATGCCTGGGACTCTGCTCAGTCCATCACTTATTATTGTCTCGTTTCATCCTCTCAAAACTCTGAGGCGGTGTGTACATCTGTAATTGTCCCCACTGCACAAGCTAGGATCAAGGCTAAGCAAGAATAAGTTATACAGTATGTAAGTCTAAAGCTGGGATGTGAACTTTGGTCTCTTTGAACTTCGGCTGCTGACAAGAGTCCCTGTAGGTGGGGATGTCAGAATCCAGGGTTACCTAGCCACAGCGTGGTGTGGCAGGACTCTGCAGCCCTGAGAGGTGTCCTGTGCAGGGACCAGTAGATCCATTCTATGCTATTTCCTCACGGTCTCCATTGGCCTCTAGTGTGGTGTGGGCCTTAGGATATTGTGACTGTGGCCTTCAAACGTGCTAGATTAAACATATCTGAACAAGATGAGATAAAATTAATGATTTTTGAAGCTCTCTGAGGCTCAGTATCTTTCTGCTTCTATGTTCAACTCTCTCCATACTAGAAAATGTAATTAAGGTGGGTGATGGTGGTGCATGCCTTTAATCCCAGCACTTAGGAGACAGAGGCAGATAAATCTCTGAGTTCGAGGTTAACTTGGTCTACAGAATAAGTTCCAGGAGAGAAACCCTATCTTGAAAAACAAAATTTTTTAAAAAAAAGGGGGGGAGGAGAAAGAAAAGAAAATGTAACTGAAAAAAAAAACAAAAACAAAACAAAACAGAGAAAAGCTGTGAACAGTACTCATGCACTTAATAAAGCATTTAAGGAAAATACCCACCAGGACACAGCTGCCTGTGATTTAAATGACAAGTTAAGAGCAGGCATGGTGGTGCACACCTTTGATCCCAGCACTCGGGAGGCAGAGGCAGGTGGATCTCTGTGAGTTCAAGGCCAGCCTGGTCTACACAGAACTACACAGGGAGACCTTGTCTCAAAACAAAAGAAAGCAAACAGCAGAGTATCTCAGACACACCTACCTTCCTACATCTGAACTTAAGTCTGATCATTTCTAATCATAATCATTTCTCTTAGGACTTTTTATTCCTTTGAATAAACACAGCTCAAAATGAAATTAAACTGGCCCTTCTTCATCAATGGGACAGTCCAAAGAAGCAAGGCTGGGTTGAGAATGAGTCAAGCACAAACACTGGACTCACATATGGCCTCTTAGGAGGGCAGTGCTGATCAGGAACTCTAAGCCAGCACAGTCTTTATCCAAAGGAGACACTCAACAGAG